TGGATAACCTCCCATAGAATCCATCCTATGGAGCAGAGATGGGAATGTGCCTGTTGTGGGGCTGGATAACCTCCCATAGAATCCCTATGGAGCAGAGATGGGAATGTGCCTGTTGTGGGGCTGGATAAGGTCCCTCACAGGTCAGGCTGCAGCGGTGAGAACCCCCTGCACAGGAACAGCTCAGTCCCACAGGATATTTAATGGCCAAAAAAAGGACAGATAAGGGCTGTTCCCCACAGCCACGTGTCTGCCATGTCCCCTCTCCGTGACAAAGCCCCCAGAGAAGCAGAAGGTGAGGGAGGTTTTTGGGTATCGTGGAACCCCGGCACCGTCACTGCCCTGCAGCCCCTGCTCTCCCTGCCTGCCACCATCACTGCTGTCCCCGTGCCACCCTCTCAGCTGATCCTGCTCCAGTGGGAGTCTTCCCAGCCCTGTCTGATGTGTGCTCTCCTGTCCCTCTGTCCCTGTGAGGTCGCTGCTCTTGCTGTCAGCTCAGTTGTCCGTGGTCCTGCTGTTCCTCTGTGCATGTGTCTGTTTTGCTTCTCTCTGCTGTGGGGGTGTTTTCTCCTCGTTTAATTGTCCCAGATGTACTAGTGTTGACTTGTTTGTTGTTCTCTTGCCTCTGATCCAGTCTTCACACACACACAAAATAACAAACCAAAAAACCAACCACAGATGGAAATAACAACAACAACAAAAACACCCAAACCCAGCGACAACCCCAGGCAAAAAGGGTTTGGTTGGGAGCAAGTGACTTCAGCATCAGGGAGTCGACAAAACAAGGGCAGGAAGGGAGAAAAGGGGGTGCAGAGCTGGCAGCTGTGCCTGTGGTGGCAGCTCTGTGGGACACGGGAATGGGATCTGCAGGACAGGGGAGTGGGAAGTGTGGGCCACTCTCAGCACTCGCCCGCCAGATGCTTTGAGGGAGGCTCTGATGGTGGTGGTGGTGGTGGGGTTTGTGGGCTATTTTTAGAGCAGAGGCAGAGCTTAAAACTGTGCATGTCGATCCTCCAGAGCTGGGATTGGCACTGGGAATGTTCTCCTGCGTTTTTGGTGTGAGGAGCCCAGATCTGACTGCCTGCACACCCCATGGGTGTGTGCCGGGGGTTGGGAGCTGCTGCAAAGGGGAGGAGTGGAAAGACAGGTGGAGAAAAGCAGGGGATTGAGAAATCCATTGCATCAACCAGTAGCTCCTTTTAAAAATCAAATCCTGTCCTCAGTACCAGCACTGCTGAATAAACCCCTTTTGCCCATAAAAACAACAAGAAGGACCCTTCCTCTTTGAGGAACAGTTGGGGAAGGCGTCTCCTGTGATTCCATCCATCCATCCATCCATCCATCCATCCATCCATCCATCCATCCATCTGTCCACTGTGCCCTCTTACTGCTCAGCCAGCCCTTGAGCCAGCCAGGGACACATCAACTGGCCCATCCTGGCTGAAGTACCTGGCAGCACTTGATCCATAATCAGTCAAAGACCAGGAGGGAGCCTGGAACGTGTGTCCCGGGCACTGACAGCAGGGTGGGGTGGTTTTAGTTACTCTCACTGCTATTCTACCTCATTTTCTGGTTGTGCTCAGCTGGGAGAAGAGGATCCCTGATCAAAAGGGGTATTAAACACAGCCACTAAGGTGATTAAGGGACTGGAGCATCCCTTCTGTGAGGGAAGGCTGGGAAAGCTGGGGCTGTTCAGCCTGGGGAAGAGAAGGTACATAAATACCCGGAGGGAGGGTGCAAAGAAGGCAGAGCCAGGCTTTTTAAGTGATGTACTAGAGGCAGAGGGCAAAAAATGAAACATAGGGGGCTCTACTTGAACATCATGAATCTCTGTTTTTACTGGGAGGGTGGCTAAGCACTGGGACAAAGTTGCCAGAGAAGATGTGGAGTCTCTGTCCTTGGAGACAGTCAAAAGCCAGCTGGAGGTGGTTCTCAGGTAGCCTGCTCTGGGGGGCTGTGCTTGAGCAGGAGAATTGGACTAAATTAATTCCAGAGGTCCCTTCCAGATCAAACCATTCTGTGAAAAAAAAAAAAAGCCATGCAAGAGGTGCCAGGTGAGCTGGGGCTGAAGAGAAAGCCCTGACCCAAGGTCATTCCCCAGCTTGGGAGAAAGCACATGGTGAAAAGAGAGGGGGATGTTCACCTTCCAGAGTGCCCTGCAGGAGGTGGAGGTTGGCAGGGGATCAGTGGCACAGGGAGCTCAGTCTCATTCCAGATCTCACCCCAGCAGCATTTAATATTCAGTGTGGCAGTGATGGAGGGTGTGGGTGATGAAGTTCTCTTCTGGATTCAGGAGGCTTTGAAGGCACAAACAGCCAACAGAAAATCCCAGAGCACCTCTGGCTGGGAAAGAACAGAAGTACTTCCATCACTAGAGTGTGTGGTACAAGCAGACACTCGGATCAATCGTTTTCCACATTGGTGGGACAGATCTGTGCTTCAGTGAGAGGCAACGGGATGTAGGGCAGGGAATAGACAGGGCAGGGACACAGGATTGCTGGTTCTACCCTAGGATGGAGTGAAGATGAGGTGTCCTCTCAGCCCAGCTCACTGGGGTGCCCAGGAGAACATGAAGCAGCAAGTGAATTTAGTGAAAAAAATTTGAAAAGGCCAAGTCTACGATCTTTCTGCAGGGGGCTGTTGGGGCAAAGAAGGAAGCAGAGGAGTGGGAAAGCGTGGCAGGTGTAAGGAGGAGCTGGGCTGCCAGTCTGCTGGATCCTGGTGGGCCCCCAGGATCCTGCTCCGGGATGTGTGTCCGTGCGTGTCCGTGCGCTCACCGCCGTGTGTCCTCACGTGTTCACTGCATGAGCCTGTTCCTCCTCTAGTGCCTCCCTCCCATTTGCACTCATTTCTTTTCCAAAGGGGTTGCCAGTTTGAGTCCCCTCTCGGAGCTGAGCCCTGGGGTTCCCAGGAGGGGTGACCCCAGGGTGGCTCAGCCCCCAGCTCACACTGACCAAGGCAGGGGAAGCCCTTGCAGGGCAGAGCACTCAGCCCAGGCAGATTTTTTCCACTGGTGCTCTGCACCGAGAACACGAGAACGAAGCTTGGAGTGCTGTTTTCCCTGATTGTTAATCCTTCTTTTCTTTATTTCTGCACCCAAACCAGTTTTGCATGCACCAAGCAGGGAGAGGCACAGCACACGTCGAGACTAAGAGAGAGAGATTATACTCTGCTCCGAGTCTGATCACAGAATAATCTCTACTGTGGTTGAAAAGCAATAATGGCTAATTTTTTAAATTCAATATACTTGCACAGGCAGATGTCACCCAAGGGTTTGTGCTCTCCAGTGGCTGTGCTGGAGGGGTGACAACCTGTGCTGAGGGAGCAGCTGAAGGCGCAGAGAGAGCTTGGGGTGGGGGAGGCAATAGAAAAAGCACACTGTGATTTTATTTGGGTCAACGAGTGAGTGTATTTCAGCCATTCCTTCCCTTTCAATAAGATGTTTGTATATAACCAGTTCAGCTCCTGGAACTAAGCCCGTCCTTTGCTGTTTGTCAGTAAAATAGTTTTTTGCATGTTTTGCATCTGAGTGGTTTTTGCAACCCTTTGAACCCCACGGTACCCCCGGGGCAGGGGCTGGGGCACTGCAGAGCAGCAGCTTTGGGCAGGGGCTTGAGAGAGGAGGAGGAGAAGGTACAAACAAGGCTGGAAAGGTGTGGGAAAACCTGTCCTGATCTCTGAAGAAGGGCTGTGTGATTTCCCCCAGGTTATGTGACATCACAGGACGCTGTCCCAGATTTTCACCTGCTTGTCTCCAGCTCACCAGGATCACAGGGAAGCTCCAAGGTCCAGAACTGATTTTAAAGGAAGAGAAATATTTTACTGTTAAATTCTGGGTGCAAGTTACCTCCAGAGAGCAGCCTGGGCCTCTCGTGTTGCCTGCACGGGCAAGAAAGGCAGGAAAAGCGCAGGGAACTCAGGGCTTTGGCAGGGAGAAGGAGAAGTGGGAACATTTCCCATTCTAGCAGTACCAAAATCTGCCACCATGACCCAGCCCTTTAGCATCCTTCAGTCTGCTCCTTGCTGGAACAGAACCACACACACAAACAGAGCAGGTCTGACCCTGAGTGGGACCCCAGTCCTTCTGCACAAAGATTCTGCTGCACGAGTTGTTCTCCAAGTCTGGGCACATCTCAGGCTCGGTGCAGACTCCACGTGAGGGCAGAGCAGTAAATAAAGCCCAACACCCAAGACAAGGGATTATAAAAGACTCTGAGTGTTTCTTTTCCATTCCAAACACAGACACAGGTTGGCAGAGAAAAGCTTCCTGGGGAGACTCCCACCTCCCCCAGTCCCACAGCGCGTGGCGCTCACACTCTTGTGCTTCCACAGTGGGACTTTGCTCCCAGTGTATCACATCCAGAAGTAAATACTTCAATGGATGGCAACTGGGAGGAGACAGAGATGACCAGGCTGTAAATCTGCCTCCCAGTTGCAGTGCTGGAGCACAGGGAGCACGTTTGAGCTGGCACAGGCCAAGCTGGGGAGTGATGGATTGCCTGCTAATCCATCTGCTCTGAGATTTGCTCTCCAACACAAAATACCATTTTAATAAAGTGCTGTTGGCTCATAACTCACTCAGTGTCACGAGAGGAGCTCACCCCAGCCTGGGGTTGCCATTCTCTGTCCCTGCAGGGAGTGTCACATACCTGGGTGCCACCTCCACAGGGACAGCAGTCACCCTGGGGCTGACTGGCCTGTGAGACTGCCAGAGGTGACAGGGCCCTGCCTTGGAATCTTGGATGAGGCAGGAGTTCCCTCTCCTGTCCCACTCCTCAGGAGCAGCAGCAGTGACAGCACCTGGCCCAGGTGTTCAGTGGGCAGCAGAGCTGGGCACACCAGTGACCTGCCTGGTTCTGCCCCTGGGCTCACCAGCTCCTGCCAGGGTGAGTCCCTGGGAGCTCAGCCACAACCACCAGTGAAGAGGCTGCTGTCAGTTCCTGTGTGAGGAGAACAGCTCAGCAAGGTACTCAAGGGCGCAGATTTGGGTCATGTTTGCACCATGTAGTTACAGAAAGGGCCTCGGAGCAGAGCACAGGGTTCAAATCCAGTTCAAACTCCGAAAAAAAAATCAGGAGATTTTCTGACCTGTCTCTTATATGCACACAAGCAGAATGAATGTCAGCTCATCAACACAGGCTCGTGTTCAGGACTTGACAACAGCACAGTTCTCAGCTGTTCCAGAAATGCAGCTGAGGAGAAAACTCCTGTTGCAAGAGCAGCTCGAGGGCAGCAGTGGGAGCAAACCAGCCCCTTTCATCTCTGGAGACTGTGCTGGATACCTTTGTGCCAGAGAGACCCCCTGAGCCCTGCCTGCTCACCTCCTGAAGAGAAAGGGGAGTTACCTGGGGGAAAAATACCCAGGGCTGCTCTCAGACTACCTGTGTTGGCTCCAAGTTAACCAGGTGAGTTCACACCAAATCCACCTCTGTAACACAAAGCCTGCTCTGAGTCTGGGAAGAACAACACGAGAGTGATGCCACATGTGGGACATGAGCAAGGAGGCAGGTCATGGAGCTGGGAAAAAAGGTGAGAAAAACCTCTGCTGGACATAAACCCTACAAATTAAATACATAGGAGTAGCAGGCTTGGACAGGCCCTGGGCTCTCCCTGGGAGGATTTGGGGTTTGGGCCCCTCCAGCAGGAGAGGCCACACAGACCAACACAGTCAGTGGTATTTCAGCAAGGGGGTCCTTTAATTCAGTTGCTTCTGCCTCGTTTAAACCATGTTGTTTTCTGGTGCTGTTTCAAACCACGAGATCCAAGGCAGGCTGAGGCAGCACCCCCTCCCTTGCACCAAAGGACACACTTCTCTCAACAGATGATCCCACCAAACCACAAGACCCTCCCAGCTCTCTCCCGGGGCCTCGGCCCCACGCACGCTGGTCTGAAGCCTGCAGACTTCTCACACCGGGGTTCCCTTGGGGAAAGGCAGCAGGGGGTTCCTGCCAGTCCCTTTGCTTTCTTCAGCACCTTCTGTTTTCAGCCACTCCATCTTCTGCCTGTGCTGCTGCACAGCGTCGGCCACGCGGGCGTCAATCATGGCCTCGGTGAGAACGCCGTCCTCGGAGGCATAGGCTGCTGCCTGGGGAGGAAAAGGCAGGAGGGACAGGTCAGGGATGGCAACTGTCTCTTGTTCTCCATGCATGCTTTCCCCCACACGCCCCCAACACAACCCCCAGCCTGGTTCTCAGTCAGTGGTGGCACCCGGAGCAGTCACTGACATCCTTTGCCCTCCTGCCTCTGGATTTCCTGGGAGAGACAAGATCTTTGCTTTCAGGAGAGACAAAGCCACGGGTTCCTAATGCTGAACTCATGGTCAGGCTGCAGCCACACTTGGCCTGTTTAGATTTCCTCTCCTGCTTCAGAAGCCCAGAGCAACGGGGGCAGGATGGGGATTGAATGAGCCCACCCAAGGCAACACCTGCACAGCAGAACTAACACCAGTGCCGGGGTGAACATGGGCGAGGTGGCACCTCTGCAGTGATGTCTAACATGCACTGATCTTGCTTTCCTCATGTGTCAGCTCTCCCCCTGTGCTCATCTGCCCACAGCACCTTCCCTTTTGTCCCCCCTCCACTCATCCCACAGTCCCTGTCCCTCCAGTTCTGCTTGGTAAGCACTTGGGCCTGTAGCTGCTACAACAGGCAGCACAAATCTGATCACAGCTCCCCAGAGAAAGGGCTGTAAACTCCTGACATCTTTGCCAAACACCCCCCAGGGGAAGCAGGGCTGTGTGACTCCTCTCCAGCTGCAGCAAGAGGACTGTCCCCCTTGTCCCCACACCCAGGGCAGCTGGAACTGCACTGATCCTCCTGCAGGTGACAACGTGCAGCCAGTCCCTCCGAGGAAGGGGAGGATGTTTATGCTGTTAACTGCACCCATCTCCAAGGAAACAGAGCAACTCCCAGGCTGCAGATTTCTAAATCTGGTTCCTCCCCCTGCAAGTGCTCCTGAGAGCAAATCCATGTCCTGTTCCCTGTGCAGCTATGGAATGAGGGAGCTTGACACCACCCACGGTGGGACCCCCTCCAGCTTCTCACACCCACACTGCCTGCCCCAAACAGCCCCAAACTTCTGTCCACACCTCCTTCCACAGAGCTGTCACATCCTGCACTGCCACATTCTCTCTGCAGGGTTTGCAACATCCCAGTCAGGAATATTAAGTTGGGCTTTCACGACAGACTGAAGTGTGTTTCTAAGGTATTACACACAGGCTCCATCAATCTTTAATGGTGCAAAACGTCAGTTATACCAAGAAATGAAGTTTACTGCAAAAGCACCACAGAAACAAACTCCAGTGAGACCATTTCCTGCACCCCCTGTCCATGTGATGATGATGAGGGAGAAGACAAACCCCAGGATAAGCTGTTGTACTGGTACTATCCCAGTACTGTAGGTTATACCTGCCTATTAGATTGGTGTTACCTCACTGCAGGAGGAATAATTATTTCAAGAAATGAGCAAAAGGTCACCCAAGTTAGTTCTCAGCCTCCTCTAACCTACTTTCCAGCCCTTTTTGGGGAACTGGTTAGCTCACAAAAGGTCTTGCTGCACAAACCACAGAGCTGGCAGGTGCTGGTTTTTCCTGTAAGAAGCATCAAATCCTTTGCAAAGATCCTTCCCCGTGCAAAACCCTTGCAATCCTTCCTTCAGGCAGCAGTGAGAAGTTAGGCTAATGCTCCTGCTTGAGATTAGGAGTAAACAGTGGCCACAGGGAAGGAGAAGGTCTGCAAACAGAGAATTCACTCTGCATTAAAAGCACTTGTCCTGCTTTCACTGGCAGAGCAGGAGGCATCCTCAGCACAGCCAGCCTGCCACTTCCACACCACCAGGAGGAAAGCACAGCTTCCACAACCTGCCAAATATTTACCCAACACCCATCACAGCCTGACCTGTCTTCACTCACCCCCCTTTCTATTATTTTTTTTTTTTGGCAGGACCTGCCAACGCAGCCCCTCCAGGCAGGAGGACTGGGTGTTTGAAAAGGGCCAAGGTGCTTTCCTGGGATGCACTGATGTGTCTCCACAGCACAGAGAGAGGATGTCTTTCTTCCCTCCCCTCCTCCCTGCCACTGCACAGCCCATCCAGCCCACTGTGGAACCTCCTGCAAAGCTGTGCAGTTCACGCTCTGTTGATTTTCTCAATGACTTTCTATTTTTAGAAAGCCTTAGGCCCTTGCTGTCAAGAAAGCAAATGGGAGAAGCAGCTGCCCCTTCTGGGAGTAGCTTGCACACACACAAAAATGGTACCAAGCCTCATTTATATTCATACCTCTGCCTCCTGCATGGACACATTTTAACCCATTTTCTCCAGTGCAGTTATTCCTGGTTTACTGCTCAAATCCAATTCCGAAATAAGCTGAAAACAAAGTGTTTGGTGGGGAAATAGAGGGAGGAACAGATGACATGTCCAGCTCAGATGACCTAATGTTTCATTTCAGCCAAGACTCATGGTTTATTTTAACCTGGCCAGACTAATCTGTATCCTTTGAATCACGTTTATAATAAAAATAGCCTGATTAAAAAAAAACCCAACAAACCACACAAGCACTATTTTTAAAATACAAACAAGGTTCAGGGAGCAAAAAGGCATTTATGTCAGTGCCATAAAAGGCAAGGAAATGACAGGAAGCTCACACTGGGACATAAAACTCCTGGGAATTCTCCTGAAGCACTGCCAAAACAGTTTTCCAAGATTACAGCTTGGAATAGCGAAAGGTGGATTTTTATTTTTTTTTGACATTTTATCTAAAGCAGATCAAGGGGTTTAAGTACAGTATGCAGAACCATAAACAGATCTGAGGGGAATTTTTCAGTGTATAAATGCATCCAGCCCATATTCTAGTCCTAAAGGGTTAGATCTGGGGGATGGAAAAGCACAAGGACAAAAGGGAATGCTCAGTCTCCTGCAGAAGAGATTAAAATGGATTTCTAGCACGCAGACTATTAGCTGTGCCAGACAGCAATATTTTTCCCAGTGCTAGAGGTTACACTCTCTGCCTTTCTGCATCTTATCTTTTTTTTTTTCTGTTGGTAAATTCAGGACAAATCAAGCCAGACTGAAACAAGAGTGAACTAGAACTTGGTGTAAATGACAGGCAATCCATCTCAAGCCCAGCTTATGGTGGAATTAAGCCCAGGAAAGCTGCAGCTATTGCTCAGTTTAACCGAGATGCTTTTGTTAAAGGGTGATATTGGCAGAAGAATCCAAAAATATTTTCATGGGAACCGACTGCAAGGCCACAGGGCAGCAGAGTGGCACTGCTGCTGCCCAGGTACTCCTGTAAGAGCTGACAGTTGGGATGGTTTCTCCTCCAGCTGCTTCAGAACTTCACCCTTCCCCAAACCATCTCTGAGATTCGGTTCTGGCCAGGAGAGATGATCCCAGGGAAGCCAGGAAGAGCTGATGGCATCTCCAAACTCCATCAGGTCCCTGAGTACATGATTAAAACTCAAGTGTGCATTCACAAAGGTGCTGCTCACATCAGGCACAGGGGGGGATTACTGAGTTTATCCTGGGCAGGGTCAGGAATTGGGCTTTAAGGACCCTTGTGGGTCCCTCCCAGCTCAGGATATCCAATGATTCTGTGACCAGGTTATTTCCCACATCAGTCATCTTTGGCATGCAGCATCTTGAACCCAAAATTCAGGAGTTTAAAAGACTCCTGAGTCTTTTAAATACATAGGGAGTTTAAAAGACCAACAGCTCAAGAGTTAACAGTGGATCTGTAGCACACAACCACCCTACAGCTGTTCCATCCAGCTGAGGGAAGCCTGATGAGCATTTTTTGAGTCAGTGATGCCGGTTCCTACAGCCCCTACTTCCCTTGACCCCCTCCCTGGGATGTGCCAGAGCACTGTAGCTATGCAGTTAACTTGCCATGCCAGGCTATTTTTAACTCTGCTCAGCTCCCTGACCCAGTTCACAGCACAGCCATACACAGGGGTGCTCCAGCACCATGGGAAGGAGAGCAGGAAGGCAGGAATGTAAGGCAGGAATAGCACTGCCAGGAATGCTTGTCAAACTGCAGCCTTAATCCTGCCCTGATAGCCCAGAGCACTGCACCAGCTACAAACATCCCTGCAAGTTCTCTGTTAGTGCTAACCCAGGCCCCAAAACACCAGCACCACTCAGGAGATCAGCTGGGGTTTAGAGTACCTAAAATACCTGCTTAGAGAGGCTTTTAACCACACCTACTGAAGGGCCACACCTTGGTGCTTTACACAGGCAAAACCAAACTGCCACAGTCCAAGCTCAGTGGCCACACCTAAACACAGCTTCTGTTAAGCTCTGGTCGAGCTCCAGTCGGTCACAGCTCCAAATTCCTCGACCCAGTGACTGGAAAAGCACTTCCAGAAGCACTGAGGATCAACAGCTCTGCCAGGGAGCTCCCAGGGCAGTGCTCAAGACAAGTTGTATCCCATTCTGGATGCCCTCACAACTGCACCCACCAGCCATCTCCCAAGGAAACGTGTCCACATGTCCAGTCACCACCTGGGCTATTTTAGCACCTACCCCTGGCACATCACACCTCCCTTCCTGCCCCTTGTTCCAGCACACCAGCAACTTTGACTTTGACACAGATGAAGCTTCTTGCAGCTTCTACATCAAACCAATTCGTGTATTTTTGCCCACCTTCTCCTGCAGGGTTTTTTTTTAAGCCCTTTGAGTGTTTTATGATGGCAGAGAGGAGAGAACTTCCTGCTGCAATTTGACACTGAACCTTGTTAATAGGCTTGGCACTATGAGGCACATTTTAAAAAGCTATCAGGGCAACACTAAGGAATTAGTCACTCCCACCTTCCCCTTCCTTCATGATCACTTAAAGGATAAATGATAAAAGCTGAGGTCATTCCTGGGGATTAATGACAAGCTTGCAGATAAGGAAGGGGTGATAAAAAGCAAAGGATCATTTATCACAACTTTTTATTACTGGAAATACCTGGCAGCAAAGCCTTTAGCACACATGGGGCAGGTGTCAGCACACAGTTTGAAATATGCTTCAGTAACACAAAATTCACATACTAAAATTAACCAGCTGTGGGCTACCAAAGAATAAAATAAAAGCTCTCAAACGGTGGCTTTGGACCTCAGCTCGTGACTACTGCAGTTTAAATTGATTTAGATTAGGAAGGATAAATATTTTCTGTACCTTTAAAGGCGGAAAAACGGTAGCAGGAGGAATGAAATGCACAAACTTTGTAAAATGTTTGTGAACCGCTAAACTAAATAAAAAATTTAAAACCTAAACAAAAAGCCGCTTTGTTTATTCAATCCCTGAAAAGGAGCTGACATGAGTAAGTTACACGAGGAACAATTTGGGGCATATTCCTTACATTGATATTTCTAGGTTAGTTCATGAAAATGCACAATCCAGTAAGAAACTGGCAGCTGTGACAAAACAAGGTGAAAGCCTGATTTAAAAAAAACAAAAACACTTAAGCTTGTTAAGCACGTGAATAATTGTACTCCAAGTGACTGCATTTTTTATTTCTATACAGGGAGAAATAAATGGAAGAAATACCTTATTTTTTTCAGCTCCATTTCCAGTTAGTTTTGTTTCTTTAATTACTCCAGTTGCACTACAAATGTGTTTAGAACAAAGTAGGGAAGCAGGGTGGTTTAGTGCCCTAATGCTGTCGATACCTGAGGGCAACAACTCGAGGCATCTCCTGAGCTGGACCACAAGTCATGGCCAGCATGATCTGCCCCAACCCATTCCAAACTCACCTGCTTTACCTAAATTCAGTAAGGGATCTTCTATCAGTGATGGACTTGGTGACCTTGAAGGTGTTTTCCAACCTGAATGATTTATGATGATCAGAACTGTTCCTGTTTATGAGATGAGGAACTGTGCTGATGCTCTGACACTCACCCCAGAGCCAGAAGTGTTCTGGGACCACCCTTTGGACATAATGGAGCTTTCAAAGGGAAGCTCTAAGACTCCAAAATCAAACCCTCAAACCTTCCAGAAAGGGAGAAGGAGCCCAGAGTGAAAGCCCCACTCACCTGCCATGCCACAGCAAGCTGGGAGATCTCTCTCCCAGACATGCCCTCGGTCAGCCTGGCGATCTCCGAGCACTTCTTCCCATAGTCAAACTGGGCCAACTTCAACCTCCTGGGAGACAGAGGGACCAGGGTTAGTTGACATTTAGCCACATGACAGGAGTTCCTACTTGCATTATTGCCTCCAGTGCAGCAGCCTCCTAAATTTTAAGGTCACAATAAACTGTGGCACAAAATCCTAGGATGGCATCTCCTCCTGTGACAGGAAGAGGCATCTCTCCAAATCTTAACTTGGTTAAAGTGACAAAATACAAAATACACAGAAAAGGAGAAGAAGAAAAGCAATAGAAGAGAATTCCCCAGGGTGGGAGGTGTGCAGGGACACTCACTGTTTGCCCTCTGTGGCTGGTTTCAGGACATGCCGATCAAAATACATCCGGACGAGCCGCTCCCGTTCCTCCAGCTGGGGCAGATCAAAGTTCACCATCTCATCTATCCTATCGTTGATAGCCCAATCAAACTGCTCAGGCTGGTTGCTTGCTAAAACAAGCATAAACCTGGAATGATGAAACAAGAGAGGGAAGACTCAAAAAACCATAAAAACAAAAATCAATGAACTCGTCTGAACATCAGGAACTGCCACGGTCGGTACCGAAGACATTTCATCACCTGGGAAGATGAAGATGCCCTAGAAACAGCTTTGTATCAGCATCTCAAGCCCCATGCTAAAATGCAGTGCTGTTTGGGCTATTTAGAACAGTCTCATGTGTGCAGAGAGAGACATTCAGAATGAACATTATGAACCAAAGATGCCTTGTTTTACCAAGCTTTGCTCCACTGTACAGATGTGCTGTTTCCAGGTCCTGCTCTCTCCTGCTGCATTTTGAAGCTAAAAATCCCTTTTTTTTTTTTGCTTTGTAATGATGCTTCTTCCCTGTGCCAATACTTTAATGCTTTAATTGATGTTACCAGCTTAATAGTGCATAATAATTTGCCATGGGCTTTTAACCACAGCTATTGGAATATCGACGTTCCTCCTGTCTGTTTGAATCATAGTCTACAAGGGGCTGTGTTCCTTGCTGTCATTTCTGAGGATAACTTTGCCAACCCAAGAGCCACAGAGGCAGGAAACTGTGGCTTTTCTACCAACAAGGACTTCCCCCAAGCTGCAGAAACACAGCCTGGATAAAGGGCTGACATTCAACCTGATACTCAGGCACTGCTCATTTCTATCACGACAATGATACAAATGAGCAAGAGATGTTGGCATTTGCAGTCAGATACCCAGCAAGATTTTGGGAGGTTTAAGCCAGCAATTCACATTGCTTAGTTATGCTGCTGACAATTCACTGCTCAAGTAACAGTTCTCCTCAGGGTCTCACCAAAGCTGCCACATTTACATGCCCCATTACACTTATTCAAGTGAACTCCCATTCATGGATCCAGGACTCCTCCTTGCCCAAAGCAGCAATAAGGCTGTTCAGAAGTAAAAAGCAGTGCATGAATCACAAAAGGGCATGTTCAGTGTCCTAGAATGGCTCATGGTTTAAATCAGGGCTGAATTCAACATCTGCCCAACTGCTCTGAGGGCAGGAAGAGCACCCACAGCACCCAAACAGACCCAGAGCTCTGCTAAAGCAAATTAACATCAGGGGAAAGAAAGAATCCTCCCCTTGCCACCCCCTGCCTTGCAGTGCAAAGACTTATTGTATTTATTCTTGCAAACAGCAAGTACAATATCAATTAATAACAATAATAATGAACTCAGCTTTATAGAGCAACTTGATGTATAATTTCAGAAGAGACTTGCCATCCTTCCAAAGGGAAAAACAAAGTTCTTGCAGGCTCAACACCTTGCTTTCTAACAATTTATTCATTTTTTTGGAAAGGTACATCTTCCTAGGCACCTCCCTGTGACAGAGAAGCTACACACAAGCAATCACCAGTTAGAGCTGCATTGGTTCTAATAAGTTCAAGATACCCCAAGGACAGAAAATGCCCTGCTTTTGTCCTTCCAGAATATTTATTTCAATGTCACGAGGTTACTATAACAGGTATTTCATTCCAACACTACTAAGGGAACAATTCATCACAAGAAACTCACTTCCCCACATACAGACAGAGACAACTTTTCTTGTTGGCTCAATTTCTTTGTACAAGTTTAACAACTAAGTAAAGTTCACACACACAAAAAAAAAATCAAATATTATTTGAAAAAGGTCGAGGAAAGGTCACCTCTCTATTATGACAGCCAGGAAAGGGGTTTTGTTAAGCTAAGCAGTGCTGTGCAGGAAGGTGACACCAATGTGACATGGTGAGCATGGATGGATGGACAGTGACAGTCACACACACACAGACATCTGCCAGCTCAGCCCTGCAATCCCATGTTCAGCAAATCCAGGAAGGGAACAGCTCTGGGATCCCTAAATTCACGAGCAGGGCTGCTCACAGATGTTCTGAGCAGCTCAGGCGAAAGAAATGGAGTCAGATTTGAACTCATCTGCCCCAAAGTTCCTGCACACACATGCACAAGACGGAAAGAGGCCACCAAAGCACTGCAGAGGAGCAGCAGCTCAAAGAAGCACCCGCTGAAGCATTTTTTTCAAGAGCTCCTGAAGCATCCAGCCAGGATCAACTCTGAGTTCTCTTTTGTGGTATTGATTTTCACGGGCCCAATACTGTTCTTGTATAAACAGCAACTTATCAAAAAAGAAAATATTAATCAAGGTGTCCAAACACCATCCTGGTTTCAGGAAACAATTTCTCCATAGTTCTGATTTCCGAGCTGCATTCAATACATAAACTGAAAAGGGGATATTCTCTGCAGATTTTTTTTAAGCCCTCAGCAGCACATATAATTTCCAACTTTCATTTGTACACCACAGACCCTTCACAGATTCTCCTCAATCCAGAGAAACACCAACTGCTGTAAGGGCTGGAACTGGATACTCACTTGTTGCTGTGCTGCCCTGTTCTGTGCAGGAATGCATTTAAAGTTGCTCTGAGATCTTCACTGATTTTCTCCTGCAAAGATGAAATCCAAAGGAAGATCAACTGCTGGGCTCTGCAGCCAGGTCACAGCTTTGAGCAGCATTATGGACAAAGGGAGTTGTGTTATTGTCAAGCACTTGAATTACAGTAGAATCCAAAGCACTGTAATACCTTGGGGGAAAAGGATCAATTTGTATACCCAGGAGAAATGTTAGGAACTAAAGCTTCCAGTAGAGAGATTACATATTTATCCACACTCATCCAGTGATTTTCTTGATTCCAAACCCAAGGCTCCACCCACTGGCCCAGGTGGCTTTCCCTGCTGAACACCATTTTAGCTGGGAAGTCCAGTAAGATGCAGGCAAATAAGCCAGAGCAAAGAATTCACTTATACACTCAAAGTAATTTTCTAGGGAGAGCTCTTTAAATAGACTACTGAGGTCCAAGTAGCAGGTCCAGACTGAATGTACAATGTGGTGACTGACTTTGAAAACACAGATTATTTTTACAGGGGAAGATGCTGGTGTAGCTTTGCTAACGATTAAAATGATTGCCAATGATAAAAAGCAGTTTTATTATGAAAACCACCCTAAGATGGTGGGAGAAAACACACACCCTGCAGGGCACCAGCTCTGCAGTGTGAGCAACCTCCTCTTGTTTTCAAGATTTGCCTCTTTCCTTCCTGCAAAGCCCCCCTGAAGACTGCCACCCATCCTTTGCAGGGAGGGATTCTCAGCCAGTCTGGAGATGCTCATTCCATTGAGCTGCGAGGTGCTGGTGTCTTGTCTCTGCATCAGTTAATTAGGTGAGCAGTGAGGCCCCTGCCAGCTCTCATCTTTTGCCAGTGGAAGGCAGTTAATGAGACTGAACAGGGCTGTTGGCTGGTGACAGACACAGAGAGCACTCACCGTGGCCCTTTTCCGCAGGAACGCGTCCGCCTCATCCACGAACAGCAGGAGGCTGCGGGAGGAAAGCACAGGAACAGGACACGGGTAAGTGAGGCTCAGACAGCCCAAGGACCCTCCTGCCCCACTGCCAGGCACCCAGAGCTGTGCCCAAACCCAAAGGATTGCACAAGCAAACTCATTTCTTCAGGCAATGCTTCTCACTGAGCTGCAGCAACGTTTCCACTGCACCTGGCCCGGCCCAGCAGTTGAGAAAGGGATGGGATTGAGACACCTCAGGCCATAAATCTGACCCCAGGCCTCTGGAGTTGTTTTTCCTGCTGTTCAGAAGAAGACTGAAGCAATTCTAGGGCCCACGACCTTAAACTCCCCTGGATTTTTAAATATCTAGGAGTTTTCACAGGCATGGTTTGGCAGTGGGCTTGTATCTGACAGTGCTGGTGTGTTACTGCCAAGCTGCAGGAGACATCTGAAAGGCAGATAGTGCTTATTTTAGCATTCCCTCCTATTTAGAGAAATGTGTGCAGGGGTACAAGACAGGCACACAAGCACAGAAGAAGTCTTGGTGACAATGGCACCTTCCTGCCATTTTTCTTCCTCGTACCATTCTGAAAACCTCAACCCAGAGTCCTCTCCTCAACTTGCTTTGTTGTTTAGAGGGTTTTTTTCTCTTCCAAACCACACTAGCACTAAGGGTTTTACTACCTGTGGAGCAGTGAATTAATAAAGCCCATGAATTATTCACAAAAATAAATTCACTTATAACCCAAGGGCAGTGCT